AGCAGCTGAGGAGCAGCTTCACCAGACCTGGGGCAGGCACGGCCTCTCCGCCCGTCACACACCGGACGAGCAAGCGAGCATTTTTCAGTTACAGTACTTCAGGAGTACGCTGTAACTAGGTCTGGTGAATTATGAAGCCATACCGCATCTCCTTTTTGGTTATTTACACAGATCACCCTTTCACGTCTCACACCTCTGCTACTTGCCATGAAGGCCCCAAGCCAAAGGCACGGTGCTGTAGACTGCAGGGACTCGGAATACACAAAGTGTGTATTCCTACCCCTGGTGCTAAACAAGGATGCAGGAATAGCCTGAATTCTAGTAAGGCCTGGTTTAAGTTTGGCCAAATTCTTATGTTCCACCTAGAAACTTAGTCTGAAGTTAGGCTTTGGAAACTCCTTCATGTTCTAAGAGCAATACTTTGATTTTCATAGGTACATGCAGTCAGCACAAGTCGCTTGTGTGTAGCTGAAGACTCATCTTAAGACAACTGTTAGTTCAGAGTGGGCTCAAGACGCAAAGTCAGTAAAACTGACAAACTATGTTGGGGATTTGGACTAGCACCTCTGAACAATTGCATTATAAATATTATATACACATGTCTAATATATATTTAGAATTTTAAATTAAAAAGTAAATGCTTGTACTTGCCTTTATTTTCTTCTTTTTTGATGGTGTTGGAGAGCTTTGAAGGTCTCTTCTGTTTGCAGAACGAGAATTTCTCTCGCCCTCATTCAAGTCCTCCAGCTTCCTCTTCTTTACTGTGCTCCTTAAGGATCTGAACTGTTGCGTATTGTCCTTCAGGGGGGTTGCAGTGCTAGTCCTTGCTATAGCCGCCCGCGACAGTATCATCAGCGTGTGAGCAGCCATGCTGACGCTGTTCTCGCTGCCCGTTTCACTAGCCGGGCTGCAGGCAGGCAAGTCTGGTGTAGCGGGGGGTACCATTATCCTAGGGGTCGTGCTGTCCTCATTGAAGCGCCGACAGGTCGGTGTCCGCACGCTATCCGTAGTATCGTCTGTGTGCCTGTCCCCAACGCCAGACGGTGTGCGGGGTACTGGCAATTCTCCGTTCTCAGCTGTTTTACTAGCCGGGCTGTGCCATTGAATGTCTTGCAACATTTCCACGCATTGTTTAGTGAAGGGACTTGAGAGGCAAAGGCCTTGGCTGGAAGCCTTAGTCGGCTCTCGCTTTGGCTCCTTGGACGACAAGGCAACGGACGCTGAAGGTTTGCCGTTCCCATTCGACAGTGACCCTTGCTTTCTGCTCAGCTCTTGCACCGAACCAACTGTCTTCTCATTCCACAAGCTAACACTTTGTTGGCCGTTTGAGAGTTTGGCAGTGTCCTGGTTCTTCTGTTTTTCATCACTATCCCTTCGTAACTCATTTTCTTTATTTGCTGTGGTCTTGTGGAAGGGATCCAACGGAAGCCCTGCAGCCGCTGCCTTCCGCTCTGGCTGGGGCTCCTTCACAGATGCGCTTCTGTTGCTACCAACTTCTGGCTTACACAGAATTCTAGGCAGCGTTTTCTCTTTCTCCCTCTTTGCTACCTGTGCCTTTGCAGAGGATGACGCAGAGTCAACAGCAAATAAAGTATTTTCGTTTCTTTCTTTTTGGGATAAACTCTTAGTAGTTTGAATTTGGGCGTTTCCTCCCGGAGCAGGTGGGATGTTATCAAAGCAAAGCACTCTCCTGTGACTTTCAGTCTGTCTTGAGTTTGAGCTTGTGCTGTCTACTGGTGCAACAGGTAAGCTCTCCTCCACTTTCCGCCCTAGTTCTGCAGTGATAAGCTTGTCTGAATTTCCAGCCCTGAAAATGAGATGAAAACACCTCAGCAACACACTTGTTCTTACTAGGCAAGTTCGTGTCAGCTGGCTGGAAGTCCCCACCGCCCCTCAAAACACCATTCTCTAAATGGAAGTATACAATCAGCATGCAAAGACGAAGAGTAAGGGATAACAACTGCACAAAGCTCAGAGAAGGCCAAAAAGGACGACAAAAAGGCATGAAACAGAGCCCGTACAAAGAACAATTAGGTAGAGTGGGGCTCTTCAGCCTGGAAAGAGAGATGACCGAGGGGAAATGCAACAGAGCTCTGGGGAAAAAAGCCAACAAAAAAGCAACTATTTGCTGTACATTCCAGTGGAAGAACTAGGAGCATCAAGTAAAACTAGTATCAAGTTCAAAACAAAACAAGGAGGTTTGGACATTGCACGTAATTAAGCCTGGGAACTATTTTACCTTGGGCTATTTGTGGATGCTGGTAGTTTACTCGAGTTCAAAAAGAATCAGAGCGCATTCATGACGGGACAGTCCATCCCAGAATACTGGTTGTGGCTCTGGAAGCCCTTGGAGCTGAAGTGGCTAAGAGGCTGCCAGAACATTGTGGGCAATGTCCTCATGCACCTGCCTCGTACTCTCCCCGCTGCCTTTGCTGCAGGCGACGGGATACAGCGCAAGACAAAAAACCTCCAGTGGGCACCTGAGCGAGAACATCCCAACGCCCTAGGGCTTGGTCTCCACCTGACAACCAGCCGAACTAGTGTGAAAAAGCCACCACTGCACCGGAGCGACGTCGAAAGGAAAATGCTTCTGCTCTTGTCAGCTCCTACCACTGCTACGTCCGTGCCCTCTTCCTGGCTTGTGCTGCTTTTCCAAGAGAAGCTCCTGCATATTCACCTGTGCTGGTAAGACTCTCCCCACGCAGATAAGCTTTTACGGCTTCTGTGAGGAAAAGTCAAATTGGCTTTGGGCTGGAAACTCTGGTACCTCTGGATGGTAAAGAAGGTACGGGTGGTAGCAGTTTGGTTTATTTCCGTGAAATTTGAGATGAGGCAGAGGGGAGAGAGTGGAAATGAAGAAATTACATCTCTTTATGGGGAACATTTTGCTTTCTTGGCTATGCAAAACATAGGTCTGGAAATCAAAATTAACAGAAAGCTGAATTATCAAAGTGGTACTATCTAAAATCTTGCTTCTGTGGCTTTTTAAAAATCACTAATTTTTGCATGCATTTATAGTGCATACCTTAGTATACGTTTGTGGTTTTGTTTTTTTTTTTTTAAATACGTTGACATTATTGTTCCTGTTTTCCTCCACTTTTCCAACACCTTAACTGAGTTCTGAATAGGCAGATTTGGGGTTTTTAAAATATGTTTTATTTTTACAATAAAAGAACGTTTCACTTCTGATATTTACACTGAACTTATTATCTCCTCCAACACTCTTTTGCTCATTCCAACACCCTTTTGTTTCTTAAGTCCTTTAACGATATGGAGAGTTACTACTGAAGCCTGGCTTTCTTCTCTCTCACTTGCCCAACAGAAAACTAGTAGCAGTTAAGTCCCATTCATCAATATAAAGACAGCATGCTGTTCTCCTCGCCCTCTTTCCTCTGACTTTTCACTTTACAAACCACCAAGCAGTCTTCTAATCTGCACAGCTGGAACACAGATGCAGAACCCAATCTAACAAGCTCTACTGGACTTGGGCCAGAGAGTGGTAAAGGCAATGAGGCTACACTACAAAACCATGGGTACCACTCATCCGAAAAGAAAAAAAAAGGTTTTAGTCATTAAAAACTCCCAGTAAATAGAACAGGCAATTTCTCCTAGCTTGGACTCAGCTCAAACAATTTTTATTTGACAACTGAGACAGGAGAAAATAAACACAAAGCCATGCAAAATTAACATAGGAACAGTAACAGCAAAATTCTAGCACAGGCTGCACTGGTACTAGCACAGATCTGTACCAATACTCCTAGCAGAAAGACAGGAGGAAATACAAGGGGTTACCGCTTATGCCATTGTTAAAAAAAACCTGCTTTCCTCTCCACCAGTATCGTAAAAAGAAATTCATGGCAAGAAAAGAAACACAGGTTTGAATACCTGGCACTACTGACCTTTGTGTTCGAGAATTTGTGTGGTTCAAAGGCTCAGCTGCACTTGGTACCAGTTTTCCTGGAACAACAGATGAAAGATTAATAAACTACGATATTCCGAGTAAATGAGCTCACAGTAAGTACAATGACATTTCACCTGACAGAGGATCAATAAAGAAAAACCCAGTAATAAAACTCCACAATTTTTTTGGTAATTTTAAAGTTTACAGATTGATAGATTATCAAAAGTTGCCAACTAAGTATGAACAAGAAGCTTGCTGTCTACACTTGGATAACACGGAGGCCTGGCAAGACAAAACCAGCTGTGCTGGACTTACTAATGCGCAGCAGGGATTTCCAAGCAGAAGGGAAACAACCACAGGGAACTCCCAGTTACCCATCAGCAAACCAGAACGCAGACTAACTATACAATCCTAGCTTTTCTCTTAATCTGCAACTTCATTCCATTTTCATTTATACGCGTAAACCTACTCTTTTTAAAAAGGTAGACAGGCCAAAGCACAAGATGTCCTTATAACACAATTTGTTTCCTCTTTTCAATTACTTTTCTTTACCCCTACCCAACACTGAGAAATGAATGTAACTCCAGTCCTGTTTGAATTTACTACTTAAAGAAGCAAGGTCTCAATGAAATGAATATACAGAAGCGTACACCTGAAATGGCAAAGAGAAAACAGAAAGCAGAGTGCATTTTTTTTGTTTGAATATGCAACGCTTCTATTAAATATCCTCCTTAATAAATGTTTAAAATTGCTGACTCTTCTAGTAACTTCTTTGTCACCATGTGGCTTGGTTTCAATGGCAGCAGTAGACTGTACTTACAACCAACGAGATGAAAAATAATCAGAAATATGAAGAAAAGTAAACTTTTAAAACTGCTTTGAAACATTAAATTTTGGAAATACACTTGATCCCAAATCTGGAATTATTTTACCTGCTGGGAGTAGTTCTTTGTAAACTGAGCCAATACAGTTACCAGCTGCAGGGACAGGCCTTGCGAAGCCATCCCAGCAGTCACCTAGCAGAGGAGCATTGGTATTTACAAAACTTTATTATGCAGAACTGACATGTCTTCAGAACGCCACTTTTCTTCTGCCCTTCTCAAGAATGCAAGGTGGGTACCTGTATTAGTCTTGTTTCTTGCTCCAGGAATCTTTTGTGATTTGGGAGGGATGGGAAGTTTTGGGACACTTCTGTTGCACACTGGATTAGCCACAGGCATATGCAGAACCTTGAAAGAATCAACATATTTCATTACAATTTACCAAGAGCCTCCTTATCACTTCAGCTTTAAGTTTGAAAAGCTTTATTTCTGATGCGCTACCTGGCGGGCAGGTGCTGAGAACGTATTTCCATTTTGTCCTACTACTGAGAGAGGTATCATTCCCACCATCCCTTGCAAAACAGGTTGCACCGGAGATGCAATTATAATGGCAGAACCTAAAAAATAATCAAAGTATTAAAACTGTACAGAAACTAAAAATACTTCAGCGAAAAGAAGACCTTCAAGACAAGAATTCCTAAAATTATGCACGGCCAAACCTGCGACAAGAAAAGCTCTGGCTTTTTAGAAAAACTTCACTGTCCTTACTAGACATCACTCCTAGTAAACAGGGTAAGTACCACTGTTATTTTAGCTGAAGTCCATTTTCCTTTCTACGAAATGGTTCAAAATCAAGCTCAAAGTATGACAAACCTACATTAAGGCTTGAACTTTGAATTCAAGTGATTTATAAAAACCAGCCAAAGTAACAGCAGCTAGCTCATTTTGCTGCTTAGTAAAAACAAACTATGATTTGCATCCCATTCTCTACAGTTAGCATGCTCAAAAGTCAGTAGCAGAATTTTCTTCTTCTTCCAGTGTCCCTGTAACGCCTCCCCCTTACAAGCACACGAGAAGCTGGGAAAGGTGAGCTTGGTCCGTGCCTGGATACCTAATGTATCTTCCTGGCTGGCAGGTGGTGTTCAACGTAGTACACAAAGGTTCTAGTTTTTTAGTACAATTATTATTCTAATCTGGAATATTTAAGCCAAAGTTTCCTATTTAACTATTTAAATCATTGCTAAAACAGTTGTTTTAAAACAGTTATTCTAACAGGTTATAAGAGTGGCTGCCTGCCAGACATACGGGAATTACAAAATACGGAAACTATTATAGCACATTAATTGAAAAGTGGAAGAAAAATTTCAAAAGTGAACAAAAGATTTATTCTACACAGTTCTTCAGTTACATGAGCGCCACCAGGAAAAACATCAAACACAGGAGAATAGGCAAACTTTTAGTTCTCTCTCTGTGAAAAAACCCCATGAAGGTAACAGTGGCATGAAGAAATCCTAACGACAGAAAAGGCCAGCGCTCTGAGGTCCTGCACATACTGTTGCACTGGCCTCTGACCACACGAAATGGCTACACACAGAAATTCAAGGATAACTGCAACAAGTTTCTACTTTTGGAAAGAAATCTAAATGTGTTGATTACAGCTGGTTTATAGCTAGGTTTAACATTTAAAAAGCACTTAAATTTTTTATTGCTGTAGTAATAAAAGTGCTTGTACCAGGAGGTAGTTTATATTGTGGAAAGAAATAATGTTCTACTTTTATACTTGTCTAAATGTACTTGTAGTGTAGAATAGGTTTTTGGAAAATGAAACAAGACAAGGAGGTAATTTTGGAAGGACTATCTGTACCTAGCCAGTTACCTAAACTAAGTATGGATACCTGTAACACATAGCATTCTATTTATAGCAGGACTCTTATTAAAATAAACAAAAATCCTTTAGCCTAAACAATGGAATCTTTTCTAGTGTAAGCCAAAATATGCTGCCTAAATTTATCACTGCTAAAATTAGATAATTTAAGCTTCTGAAATACGAGGCTACTTTTTCAAAGCAGACTGGTCAATGACCCTTCATAGTTTTTATGTCCTTTTTAGTAGCAACTAATATACTCAAAAAATACGTAACTCCTGGCTAGTTTCAAGGGGCAGACAGAGCAATGCTTAAAAGTTGTTTACTTTTAATGCACTTGCAAAAAAAGAATAAAAACGTTATACAAAGGCCGCACTTTCTACTAATGAGATTACCTTGTGGGAAGTTTGGGGAGACAGTCTGGTTTGCTGCAAACGTATTGCTGGATCTTGGCGGAGTCCGTAACTGTTGTACAGCTGGAGCCTGGGCAGCGAGCGGCATGGAACTGCCGGGCAAAACAACTACGTTTGATGGTGTTACAGCTGTGCCCAAGGTAGCTGGATCAGTGACACAGGTGGCTATGTAAAGGTTGTTTGAATTCCCAAAAGCTGTGCTGGTTGCTGGCATCAACTGTATAAATCCCCCTTCCTTGGAAAGATTAGTTGTACCTGCAACCGAAAAAACAGCGCAGTCTTCATTCGGAGTGGTAACGGAGGTGACCACTGGATCCTTAGGTCTAAGCACAAGAAGATTCTGCTCTGCCAAAGCTGAATCCACATTTTTTTCTGCGTCTTCTGAAGTTAGACATTGGGACAGGCCTGCAGTCTTGGTTGGGGATTTGGCTGGAGAAGACAATATTATAGTTGGCAAATTTTCTCCTGTGATGCTGGAAACTGCGTTATTTAACTCCGTGTCTGATGAAATAAATGGATCATCGCTGATGATGATCTTGAGGGACATTATATTGGAAGGATCAACATCCATTGGCTGACTACTAGACGATACACCGCTTATACTTTTGGCCCCAGTACCCGACTCATCTGCTGAGGATGCAGTTTCCGGCAGAGGAGAGTGGCATATTTCAGATGTAGTAAGATTATTCTCAGTGGATACCACAGAAATTTCTGTACATGCATCACCACCAGAAGAGAAATACATATTATCAGCATCTACTTTTGTAGAAGATGAAGGTTCTTGCATTTCCCTTTGTGTTCCCTCTGAGTTTGACAGTCCTGAAGGGAGGTTAAGATCTTTCTTACAAGGCTTATCAAGTGTATGCTGATGATTTGAGTAAGTTGTGTTAGAAGTATCAACAACTTCCAGCTGCAACTCTGTTTTGTCGAGATCCGAAATCTTCACTGCAGATCCTGCAGCAGAGTCTGACGGCGTGCTCTGTTCCTGATGGTTAGAGAGGTGCCTAGAGTCCTCCGGTAAAACGCCAGGTAAGGCAGCTGGATCGTTTGTTACAGCCTGTTCTTTTGCTGCATCTGCTGATGGGCTCAATGATGAATTGTTTTTTCTCAGCTGTACACTGTGGCCAGGGCTCCCACCAGAAGGGCTTTCAGTACCTGTTTTTTCAGATAGTAATGTATCTGGTGATAAGTGACATTTACTTCCAGAATGTGTTTTATTTTCACTGGCTGTACCACCTTGGGCCACTGAAATCAAAGAAATCTGTGGACTACCAGAATGAACATATTCTAAATTAGGACTACGTTGACCGCTATGACTTAGTGGCCCTTTTTCAATTTCCATAGCTCTTTCACTTTCAGATGCTAATGCAGACGATTCTTTTTTATCATAAGAATCTCCACAGTGTTCATTACATTCGGTATCAGAACTCTGTCTCTTGTTAGGTTCAGTTAAACCAGGCACAGAGTCAAAAGCAATCTCAAGCTCCCCAATGGGTTCAGGCGTAATGGTTTTGAGCACTTCAGCCTGCTTCCCTGGTCTACAATGTCCAGGCAACTGTTCATTGGTTGTATTTTTCTTAGCCATATCATCATCATTAATGCTGGTCTTCAAGGCACATGATGCTTCTCCTGACTGAAAACCTTTACAGGATAGCGATTCTCTAGAATTATCACCTGTAAAACAGAGAATAAATCAGTTCCGTAACTGTTAGAACAGATGATCCTTTTACATTGTTTTAGGAGCAAATTATCAGTTCTGTGGAAAACTGTTTAACATGAAACTAAGTGGGAATAATGCTACTCATCCTTACTTGCAAGGTGAGTGGAAATTACATGAAATGTACGGTTATACACATTAGGCAATCTGACAAAACAGTTTGTACATAAATAGTAAGTGTAACACATAATAAGCAAATGGCTTAAGTCACTAAATCAGATTTCCAGAAGCACAAAAAACATCTCAGGATAAAGACCTCTTGGCTCTATTTCTCATATACTGTCACCAAATATCTGCTACTGATGGATTATTGTTAAGCATGGGGGAGACAGACTAAACATACCTTTTGTCTAGAGTAAAACTATTTTTGTGTGTTAATTAACTAACACATTACAGAATAGAGAGAAAAGATTAACAAGGTTAGATGTAAAATAATTATCTTTGTGTTCCACAACGAATATTGCAAAGCATTCCTGTTTTGAATGAGAAAACAGATTTGCAGATATTCTGGTTTCATTTAGGAGCTTATGACACTGAAGGACTACCGTCAAATTTAATAGACTGAAACTTTCTAACAGACTAGGTGTATCCGTATGTTCATAAAATGTGTTAGATTGGATATTACCATGCAAAACAGAGAGATTTTGAAATGTCTGAAAATATTTTCATAATGAAAAGTGAACAGACTAGAGGAGATCTTCAAAGAAAAAAAAACCCCAAACAACCTACATCTACTAGTATCTTCTGTTCCTAAAGAACTTTCAAGTGTTTCCAGGTTGTCCTCATCCACCAGGATTGTATTTTCTACTCCACTCTGACCAGAAATACCAGCAGGTAAGTTCTTGTTTACCTTGCTCTTTCCTGTTTTCAAAATAAAGCATGAAGAATGATTAAATATGTCATTTTACACACAAATGTGATTATTACATTCTAAATGAAGCAAGGAGATTTCAAATTCAAGAAATGCCATCCTAAACTCAAAGAACTATTTGTTTATCTTCACGTCCAGAAATCGCATAAAAATGTCCTTATATTTTATGTGAGAGTATCCCTGATGAGACAAATAGAAAAATTTTACAACAGCACAGAAAAACAAGTATGAACTATCATCCTTTAGAATAAAAGAGTCTAAATGGTACAATTGAGTATAATACACCCTACCATAATCAAACAAGTCAAAGAGTGCCTGAAAAGCTGGATCTGATTCTGTCTGTTCTAGAATGTCCTGTATAGCCTCTTCTGACATATGAATTTCACCCTGAGAAAAGACAAGATATACAGAACTGTTAGACAGTTAACTTAAAAACAGACAAGAACTGTGTTCTTTTCAGGTTGTTTTTAGTTCTGTTATTTCTGCTCAGCACAGAAACATAAAGTCTAATGCTGGAAACGTTTCTGCCACAAATGTGTGTTAAAAAATAGTAGTGATTGAAGTTTAAGAAACAAAGTCTCCGAAACATCTTTCTCAGACATTACACCCTGCGCGTGCATACTCAAGTATTCTCCACATAATTGCTTACTAAGGACTAAACTGGAGTATTCTCCACAGCATTGTTTACTAAGGACTAAATCTCAGGCTACACTGGAAGCTTATGCAGACGGTACAAATGCCATGAACCTGCACTAGCCAACCACTGGCAAAAATATCCCCCAATTTACCCTAATTTCTTGGGTTTGCCTATATCTAGAAGACAATGCTACGCAATGGGAAGTTTTATTTCATTTACCCATTACATGTTCTACAATATAACTTCCAACCACTTCTCTGGGGAAGGCAGCTGGAAGGCACAGCTACACAGGACACTGCTCTACGATTCCTTTTTCATGCTGACTTGCTTGGTAGCAGCCCAGAAGAAAACAAGTGGGCGCTCAGTACATACTCAAGTGTTCAAATACAAAGTTTCTCCTGACTTCCTGGAGACCCTCTAACCACTCCACAACTTTTGATACAGTGGCTGTAAGGGTGGATATCCCATGTGACGTGTTGATTATTTTGTCTCAGCTACTCCAACCAAGCCAAGAAGATGCTATGATTTTGTTCAGCTCAGAAAAAAGGAATACAGCTTTTCAGCTTCGTATTTTGACAAAAATTGACCTAAATATCACCAAGTGAGAGAAGAATAGCTTTTAAAAAACAAGCACTTCTACTTTGTAAACAGGCAACTGCCTCCTGCCCTCTTCATGAGGACTGTGAAGATTATTATTTCCTCATTAAGAGCCCTTTATAACTCCGTGATTGTCAGCTCGAGGGTTGTAGCAGAACGGAGAACACTAGAAGTTTAGTTTGTAGAAGCAGAATGTGCATTTCCTCCAAAAGCAAGAAAATATTAAATTTGAAGAAAAAGCATCCTTATTTAGGCTCCAAAGACAATTTCTCTTGCTATACTAGACAATCCATGTTTATCTTACAGCAAATCAGATCAGACTGAACATGTTTGGAGACCACAAGATATTTTAAAATCCTTTTTTCCTTTACAGGGCTATTGATCAGATCCCCAGTCAGCAGCTGGTACCCAATTACTGGTACCAAAGATCCAGTGACAAGCAGGCAGCGGGTGACTGTGAAACAGTGTACTTAGTCTGTGGGTAACGCTACCCGCTAACCACCCCCAGAAGTGGTCCTGCTCCCTTGGCTTTTGATCCTGCTGCATGCTTATGCTGCCTTGTACAGGCACTGGGAATGAATCCAGAGCCCGAAACTGGCTCAAACGACCCCGACAAAGAGCAGTATCCTGTCAGCTCAGCTCCTTGAACCTGCCCACCACCACACAAGACAGGAGTTAATGCCCATGCAAGAGCAGTTGGGGAACCGCCCCTGGGCAGAAGCTAGCCATTAGATAAGCTCAGCTGCACTGTAAAACAAACAAACAAAAAGAAAGTAGAGAAAGAGGTGAGAGGTTCAGCACAGTTCCCATAACTGATCGTTTTCACGTGTCTAACCTTCAAAACAATGTAAGCAGGGCAACCCATACCCACCTGAAGTCCGAGGATTTCATCAATTGAAGTCTCCTGTTCCATGGGACCACTGTCTGTCTGCTTAGGCACCTGAGCAACATTGCCATCACTGGAACACATTAGTCATTAGTTCAGAATGCCAAAATAAATCAGATAAGAATACGTATGACATTTAGAGGTTCCTTTTATTACCTGCCCAGGATTTTGTTAATGTTCTCAGCAAGCTTCTCCTGAAGAGATTTGTTGCTCAAGATTTTTTCTCTGGCATTTTCAATAACCAGTTGCTGGAAAACAGTTTTGAAGTGGTCAGGTTTCTATTTTTATCATCATTAGAAAGGGAGCATGAATTTCCAATCTACCAGTTTAAACAAAAAAAAACCAGCAACAACAACAACAAAAAAACCCCAAAAAACCCACAAACCAAACAATTCAACACACAGAACACTCTTTATAACAGAGAGACAGCCAATCTGTGACTGCATGACATTGCTATGAAAATCACCCCAAACCACTCCTGTACTTCTACTCTCCTAAAAATACAGCAAGGCTTATTGTGGTTTCCATTCTCTAAAAAATTACTATATTTTGACAGCTTACAGGTATCTTAGCAAAGCAAATAAATCAAGGAAAAAAAATCTCTACATAGTCATGCCATCCTCACTAGTTTAGTAGACAGAAGAGCTAGTTCAAATATGAAACAATAAAATTATCCTCTAAAGTTAATTTCTATAATACCCAAGACAAACGTGTTAAAGACTACTTCTCCTTTAGTCTGAATTTGCTTCTTAAATGTAAACACCTTCCATAAGTATATACTCACTGGGAAGTTACCATCTATGAATTCTTCAAGTGGCTCACTTTCTTTTTCTATTATTACTTCATCAGGATCTTGAGAACTTCTAGTTGCTGAAAGAGGTCCAGATGTTGCAACACTCCTCCTCTTCTGAGAGTCACTGAAACATTCCAGGAAATTTACCGTGTATTGTGTGAGAACATAGCAAACAATAGACTTAATGGTCAGTAACAAGTGTTTCTCTTCCTTCTTGGCAACCAAAAGATTTTAATCAACAGAAAATTAGCTACATACTCGAAATTCAACAAAAGCAAATACCTGTTTCATTATGTGGTATGCATATATTGTGTCTGACTTCTATGAAGTTATAAACAAATATAGAGACTGTGGGTAAACAGCACAATGGCAAATGGAATTCCACGCCCAGTACATGCAGGGGGCTTCTTAGAAAGATGGGGACAAACTTTTTAGCAGGGCCTGTTGTGATAGGACAAGGGGTAATGGTTTAAACTAAAAGAGGGCAGATTTAGACTGGATATAACGAAGCAATTCTTTACAATGAGGGTGGTGAAACACTGGAACAGGTTGACCCGAGAGGCAGTTGAGGCCTCATCCCTGGAAACATCCAAGGACAGGTCGGACGGGGCCCTGAGTAACCTGGTCTAGTTGAAGATGCCCCTGCTCACTGCAGGGGCATTGGGCTAGATGACCTCTAACGGTCCCTTCCAACCCAAACCATTCTGTGATTCTATCAGGTATTTTTTCCCTCTCCAGTACACGTCACGTTAACTAATAGTACAGGTTCTAATTAACTGCCGTTCAAAAAAGGATTTGGGCATCACCACTGAAAATAAAGATGTCTCAAGGAGCAGCTGTTGTCAAAGAAGCAATCAAATGACAAGTTGCATAAGAATTTATGTGATGAATAGGAAATGTAATGAGTTTATATGACATCATGGTGTATGTTCTTCTGAAACCATCAATCGGCAGTGGCACTAAAATCACTTATATACAAAAAAAATCATGCAGGAATATAGTGGACTTGGAAAAGGTATAAATGAGTAAGGATCTTGAAGAATGAGAAGCAAAACCACCAACTGGGATTTAGTAAGGATCTGGAAGAATGATAAGCAAAACCACTGACTGGGATTTAGTTCCAAATGGAACACAAAGAGATGAGTCAACTCATTAAAAACAAAAGGACACTGGAATTAAAGAATAAAAAAAAACCTGCAAAACTAGTATAAGAACAGGTTTTCATATCACTTTTAGTGCAAGTATGTAAATTTTTGCTGACAAAATTTACTGAAGCCAATAGTTTTTCTAAGTTAAAAACAGACAAAATGCACATTTATATCAATATTGAGAATTTTCACAATTGATCAGGGTATTTTGGAAGGAATACTAAATCTCACGCTCCAATATTATTTGCCTATGTCTAATACTGGAATAATGTAAAGACCAGCTATATGCAATAAAGAAGCACAGGTGGCCTCCTATCAGTCTAATGTTAAGTTCTTTGACTTTCCTTTCCTTTGTGAAACATCAACACTGGCCACTCTCAGAGGATTTGAAATGTGAAACACTCCATCTAACAAAATTTACATTAGAGGTTAGAACACTGCATAATCTCTAAGCAATCTTAAAAAACAACAAAAAAACCCCACAAAAAACCTCCCCGTGTTTACCTTTTTCGTCTTCCTGGAGAAAGCAAGTTTGAATGAAGCTTTCGTTCTTGTGATGCTGGAACTTGAACATGTATGAAATCTCCTGCTTTATAAATAAATAAAAAAAAAAAAAAAGATCATGATGCCAATACCTTTTCCAGTGACATTGTTAAAATACTACAGAAATCTACACATTACTTTCTACGTTGCAACCAGTTCCTGGGAATTCACACAAAATGATTTGGTATTATCATGAAAATGAGAACCATCCATCTATATCTATACATTTTTCACAGGAAAAAAAGGTTTATAAAATTTGCCACTTACTGCTGATCTTGTTTTCCTGAGTTTGTGACTGGTGCACAAACAACGTATTCAGTCTTGTCTGTGACATGCTTTGATTTATTGTTGGCCTGTGAATAACTTGAGGAGATACAAGGGAAGAGGAATTCTGTGGCCCTGACTGATAGGCTACGGACAACAATCCTGAGTTTGCAGGAGCTGATTGCTGAAGCATTCTCTGTCTTTTCATTTCTACAATTCCACTTCTTGTACGTGCTGGAGATAATAAAGACAAGATAAAAATATATGATAAAGGAATTTAAAAAGGTTGCTGATTTTCCAAGAACTAATTAAGGATGCTCCATTGAAACTGTTTTGTACTTCAACAACTAATTAATGAAACTCAAAAAGTAAGCAGCACTTATCTTTGTGTTCTGTGTCACAGGTTTGGGCTAAAATTTGTTTTTAAGTAAAATAACTTTTCTTTTTTGAAAGTTCATTTAGCAGTTTTTGAAATGAAAGAAACAACTCTAGAAAGAGCAAGTACCTTTTCCTATCTTGCTTAGATATATGTTTGTAAGCATAAAAAATGAACAGTTTCAAGATTGTAATATATTTTTATATTTCCCTTCTAAGAAATGAAACCATAATTGGGTTGGTTATGTTCTCAGTTCCTCTGTGAACCACAAATTAAGTCAACAGCTTCAGGACTGAAGCAGCAGTTTTTAAACATTTTAACTGTGTAAGCTTCTGAAGTTTTCAACAGTGAAGAAAACGCTATATAGAGAATTTAAGCCCCTTGCAAAAAGCTCAGCTTTTCTTATTTTCTTGATGATTACAGTAATACACAGACTGCACTGAAGACTAACAGACATGCTAAAAAAACACTGCAGAAGAGATCTGACAACATTTTAAGAGTTAAGGATGTGTTACTCATTGCTGCAGCATTCTCCCATTTTTTGCCAAAACAGACGACTTGAACATAAGGCCTACTAATCCCACGGAATTGGCTTAGTTACTTACTCCTTTGATTAGCAGAAAATCCTGTGGAATTCTGCATGCTCCTAAAAAAAATAAAGCAGGTGACAAATAAAAAGAGCACAAATGTAAACACTCAGCTACACAGTGCAATGATATCTATCATATGGTTAATGTCAGTCTGGTCCCTACCACACATTACTGCAGAAAGCTTCAATCTACTGATGGTTGGTTTTATACTCTCAAACAATGGTTACAGATCCTTCAAATGAAGCTTGCCGTTATATTTTTGATGAAGTAACCACAATGGTATGGGATTCTAAATGAGTTGCAGTATATTGTTTCATTACAGGAAGGCTACACACTCACACTAATGCCCTCCTTATCTGCTAGTCCTGCCTTAAAATCTTGAAATGTCTACTCCACTATCAGGTCTCGGCTACCTATCTTTTTCATCATCTCTCAGAGGCAATAGAGAGCAAAACCATTGTCATACAATGATAAGGGGAGTTGATCAACACAGGGGCTCACTCTTAGAAGTGAAGTCTTACTTTCTTGATTTCAAAACTACAATACCTGATCTGAGAAAGTGTATAGTCTAATTTTTTCCAGAGAGATGACATCATTGCCGGAACTTCATTTGTTGTTTCTAAAATAAACCATTAAAAAAAAAAACCATTTTAGATGCCTAAAACAGATACATGTTGAGAAAAAGTAAAATCACAAGCAAAATAATTATTATAGGGTGCTTCAGACATCATCTATCTTCAGGTGTCTAGTCGCCTTCTTAACACTCTGTTAGCTAGAGAGCCCTAACTCCTAGTTTAAGAACTTTGATTCATATGAACATACACTAATGGTGAATACAGTTCTCAGTTTTAGAAGCCTAAATGAAACTGAGGCAAAGACACTCAGGATAATAATTCTCAATGGAATCTGCACATGATGTTGACTCCTGGGTGAACACATGCTAACACAACCTAACTCACTTCTAGAAACGGTATTCATATTCCCAGGTCACTTGTAGGCTTTTGAAAATTGTAACCTGGAAGACAGGACTTTAAAAATAATGGTTTCTTTTAAGATGTCACTCAAACAGGTAAAAACACGTGGTATTTTTGAAGCACAGAACAACGAAGTATAAGTGGAAAGATGTAAGCAGATCAATCAAAGTTTTTCAAGGTGCCAAATACAAAGTATTCTGAAGAAGGTATGTTTGTGTCTCAGTTACCATTTCTACTAAACCTAGCATGAAATGAAAAACACATGCAGAAATGTTCCAAACATGGTATGTCTTCAAGTGCAAGTTTTAGAACCAAGCACCACTAAAAATCTGATCATATCAAACGTGTATCAAAAAAATCCAAGGCTTGGCAATATTCAGAAGCTCAATAACTGCTTTTAAAAACAGGAAACACTCTAACTCTGTCTCTAATATTCATATAAAATATTAAGTTATTCTGAAATTATTTTAATTAGTTTTAAGAACAAGGCAAGAAACATTTCACACCATAGGACTCATCCTGGTTATTTCATAGACTATCTCAAGCTGGAAGGGATCCATGAGGATCATCAAGTCCAACTCCCTGCTCCTCACAGGACTACCTAAAACTAAAGTATAGGACTAAAAACATCGTCCAGATGCTCCTTGAAGTCTGTCAGGCTTGGTGCCATGACACTTCCCTGGGGAGCCTGTTCCAGCGACTGACCACCCTCTGAGTGAAGAGCCTTTTCTAGTGTCCAGTCTGAACTTCCTCTGACGCAGCTTCATTCCATTTCCACATGTCCTATCACGAGTCACCAGAGAGAGGAGATCAGCACCTCCCTCTCCTGTTTACAGTATAAACAATAAACAGTATAATTTTACAAGCGTAAACCCATACATTTTGGACACTTTATTGATCTTTGTGCTTTACGACATTAGAAGTTCTGCTCAAATTTGAAGTGAAAATACATACTGGTAAATCCAAACTAATATAATTAATTAATTCTGCTCACAAGATGCTGATCTAATTGGCCATTGTCTAAATAATATGGAAACCTTCAACTTCTGGCATCGATGGGGGATTGCTTTAAGTCCATATATAGGCAGAAATATTATCTCTTCCTCAAGGAGTTCACAACAGATAAATAAGAAAAATGAAATAAAAATCTTATTCTGAAGGCTTACCTTTTGTTTTCATGGCTACGTATTCATTAAGAATAGTTGTCAAGTTTTTTCCACACAGGGACTGGAAAAAAAATACTGGTCTTAGAATCCTCACTAATAACTTATACTTCATCTGCTGTATCACATTATATTTAAGCAGCTCTTTAGAAGACTGCACCATGCTGACACATGGAACTGTACTTTATGCTGCTGGTGTCGAGTTGTCTCAAGCTAGGTGGAAAGCAATCTATGGAACAAAATACCATTATGAACACAAAACCTGAAGTGTGTGATCTCATCGCACAACATTGGTACAGCAGTTAGCACTGCATGATGTCCACTCACCTTTGTTAATATGGAAACAAACCACAAAAATAAGATGATGAGCAGCTGTAACAGAGTAATGACTATATATCATCCTGGAACACAACATGTGTTAACATGCAAATGTGAAGAGTACTTCTGTCTAAAGTAAAATTCTTAACAGTCACACAGAATTAACTTTCATATAATATTTATTTGTTCTGTTACTTTAGGTGAAACAAAGAGAATTAACATTTTAAGGTTACCGCTATCATTTCTTGTACCTTCTTGTCTTGTTTGCTAGTGGGAACTCTACAGGGTATGACAAACACAGCCCTTTACCGCAAGTTATTCTGAGCTGCAGTGAGAATTTTTTCTTAGACATTATCATATCATCACTTTTCTATTAAAAACAGGAAAAATGTTTCTACTGAGAGACGGAAGATAACTAAAAGCTTTAAGAATCTGAATAATCTATTTACATTTTGTTTTTCTAACTTTGCTGGCCATAGCTTGTTTCTCAATTTCCTACTCCCAAAGTACAGATGACTAAACAATTGTAAATGAAATAAGTTCAATGGCCTGGTTTGAACAGGTGCATCAAGACCTCAGAAAAGATTTTTCACAAATACTGAATACCGTGGACAAAATCCCAGACCATAAAATTAACTGATACATTAGAAGAATGAAACAGAAAACAGGAAGAAGATGCACATATAAACATTAAAAGGCTGATACGTAGCAATATCTAAACTCTGTAATCTCCATACTATATTAAAAATCCCATTTTGTATAGGTAAAAAATGCAAAGCATTTAATTACCCTGTAGCTACATGCACATATCTACATATGTAGCTGTACACTGTATTTATGGACACCCAAAGTTCCACGTTTCACCTGCGACAAAGCAGATGATACTGATCAAAGAGGAAGCTGAACCGAAACACAGTTTTTGTCAACAAAATTTGGTAGCCTTAGATACAGCTGACGTACCTTACTTAACTATTTAATATGTACTTGAAATGGAACATCACCGGCTGCGGTGTCTAGGATAGGAAAGCGATATCCAATAAATTACAAGCACAGCCTTGAAATAACAAAATCCTTGCAACACCTTTCCATAAATGAACCTCAAAGCTATAAAGCAGACTAAATGTAATACGCTGAAACCAATTTGCATATTTTACGCTTAAATGTTTCTTAGTAAGATAAAATACTAAAAAACAAGTAACTGCTAATACCACAGGACAAAAAAAAAAAAAACAACCACCAGAACAAACCCAGACCAGAAGGGACGATCTAACAAAACATTTTAAGCAGCATTTGAGAAGTAATTGTTACCCTGAGAAATCTCAATTTTCTTTCCCATGATGCAAGACAATTTAACTTTCTGCTTTGCAAATACAAACTCACCAGCAAGCAGGCTGGAATAAACCCATCCTCTGTACAATGCTCTGCATATTCTTTCAAATCTGAGCTTTCCAAAATAAATGCACGGCAGGTAGCTAGAAGCTTTTCCTGTTGTAAATATCCTGCAACAAATCAGACGGAAAATTGTGCTATTTCATTCATTACTTCCGCTCAGCAGGTATCAAAGCCTTAACATAACCAGCTGCATGCAGTGTTGAAATATTCAGGTAAAGATTTGTATGTTAGACAAGGAAAGTGAAGTTCTTTTGAAAGAACACACACCTTGCAAAATACTTCGTTAATAGTTAAAACCAGAAAGAGCATACAAGATTATTGACATTATGCTGTATTTACAGAATCACAGAATGGTAGGGGTTGGAAGGGACCTCTGTGGGTCATCTAGTCCAACCATGTTCAGACGGAACTTCCTGTGCTTCAGTTTGTGCCCATTGCCCCTTGTCCTGTCACTGGGCACCACTGGAAAGAGCTTGGCCCCATCCTCCTGACACCCACCCTTCAGATATTTGTAGGCATTTATAAGGTCCCCTCGCAGCCTTCTCTTCTTCAGGCTGAACAAGCCCAGCTCCCTCAGCCTCTCCTCGTAGGGGAGATGTTCCAGTCCCCTCATCGTCCTTGTAGCCCTCCGCTGGACTCTCTCCAGTAGCTCTTCATCTTTCTTGAACTGGGGAGCCCAGAACTGGACACAGTACTCCAGATGGGGCCTCACCAGGGCAGTGTAGAGGGGAAGGAGAACCTCCCTCCTCCTGCTAGCCACACTCTTCTTGATGCACCCCAGGATCCCATTGGCTTTCTTGGCAGCCAGGGCACACTGCTGGCTCATGGTCAACCTGTCGTCCACCAGGACACCCAGGTCCCTCTCCGCAGAGCTGCTCTCCAGCAGGTCCACCCCAAGCCTGTACTGGTGCATGGGGTTGTTCCTCCCCAGGTGCAGGACCCTGCATTTGCCTTTGTTGAACCTCATCAGGTTCCTCTCTGCCCAAATTTCCAGCCTGTCCAGGTCACAAACTATTATAATATATAATAGTTACAAACTATTCAAAACTGGAAGTGAGGCAATATGAACAATTTTGGATTGATCTTTAGTACAGATAACAAAGTTCTTGGCTCAGGAGGCTGACAAACTAACTCTCACAGGGGATGAACAACCCAGTTTGATAATTAAATGGAATTCTACAATACTTTGTTAACAAAATGCATTGCTATGTAACAATAACTCTCCACGCCTCCTCCTGTTTCAAAACAGGTAAAACCTGCGCAGCCGTTACAAGTGTAGATTTATTAAAAGAATTGGCATTGTACAAAAACTAGTAACAGAAAAAGATTCCCCCCCTCCATTGTAATTTTCAGTTCAAATAGATGTACTAGCTGCAACTTGTGCCCTGTACACACCCCAAGACTCAGTAGTTACCTTGAAAGGAAATATATTGAAAAAGTTTACTTTTCCAAAATTCCATTCTGCAGCAAATATGTTCTGCTTTAATCAAACTTTTTAAGCCCTGCTTTAATCTTCAAATACTCTAAACATTAAAAGACAGAAATAGACCTGTCTAATGAAGGATTCTAGAACAAAGACCCACAAAAGAAAATGTCTCCTCTTTATTGATTGCAACAGAACTGAACATGCAATGTTTCAAAGAAAAGATAAAATATGTGCCTAGTTATACAACGCAGGATATATGTACATTAGCATATCTATTTCAACG